AAGAAAACTAGCTTGCTTGGGCTGGCAAATTCTTACCCAGGATATCCCTGGCAGCGCAGCTGGTTTGGTAAGCTGCCTTCTGCATGTGCCTCTGGGCCAGCCTGTGAGAGTGCAGAGTCTGTGCTCACTGCCTAGCCCATGCTTTCAAATGTACAATGAGAGAGAGTCAGAAAGTTTTCGCAAAAAAGATCTTGAAAGGAACTGTGAAGTTTTGATAAAAAAGAAATCTGCAATAAAGTGAAATCACACTAAAACAAAAAAATATTATAGTATCTGTTTTACATTTTGTATAGTCACACTTGTATATTTCTGTTCACTTTTAGTCTCTGTAATGAAAAATATTTTTATACAGAACATACTAAAATTTTATAAACAGATATTCAGCATTTCCTGTGTTATGTGAAATAGGCCTTGCATATGCAAACACAATCTTTAGTAATAAAATACAAATCAAACTATCACAGAGTAGGATTTTTCAATTCAAGTTAAATTTATTTGGCCAGTAACCTTCCTTCTTTCTGTCTCCGGTGTACTCTCTTCTGAATAGGTGGGTACAGATCGGCCGTTAAAGGAGGCAGAAACTGATGAGCCACCATTTCGCATTAAACAGCCTTTTCCTGACTTGGGGTTTTGTGGGAAGTCCATGCGATTCCAGGGTCGAATCTGATGATCACTGACCGTTTGAGGTCATGACATGATCTCTGTAGAAAATTCTCTATAAATGTGTTTAAGAGACTATCTCCAGAAGGACTCTGTGGAAGTGAGAGCTGAACTAGGAGTTTCTGAAGGCTCAGTGATTCCAGACTTAATGTTAAGGGGAACCTTACAGTGAAGGGACACTGGAGCAATCGGTGTACACCCAGCACGGCCTTTTTCCGTGGAATATCTTGTTTAATTCTCTCCCCAGCCCTAGGAGGCAAGTATCTTATTTCACATACAAAGTGACTGAGGCACTGAGGGGCGAGTGATTTACCGAAGGCCATTCATCCAGCAAGCAGCACGAATCCCAGCCCGCATTTGTTGTCCCCAAAGCCGGTGCAAGGAAATGCTATCACAGAGTCCTGCTCTAGTCCTACCAGCCCTCATAAAGGAGGAGAACCGTCCAGGGGGCTGCTTTCCTGCTAAGGGGACATGTTCCAGGGTTGGGACTGCAGTTACCCAGTTATGGCAAAGCAACGGGACTCTCCTCTTACTGCTGCGCTCCGGTCCTCA